CGTGTTATTTGCTCTTAATTATTTTCTATATTTTGGAGGAGAGTATGTCACAATAACTATTATCTTTTCTAGTTTATTCAAAGCATCCACTCATCTTATATGGTCTGTGTTTGGCCTGACCAATCCGGAAACAATGGAGTCTCGTGACAATTTGTCAACTACTGTCGTTGGTGTTCTGTACGTCATGTTCTTAATTCTCTCAGTGATTATGTTGGTCAACATGCTCGTTGCTCTGCTTACAAATACATACAACAAAGTCGAGGTAAGCAACTATCTTCCCTCCTTTCTCTACCCTATCCCAGAGAGTTATGAACACTTTCTTTAAAGGTATTGTTTGCTGATGTCAGTGCCTACATTTTGAGTCATTAGCATACGCCTTCACTGTCGAGGAGGCATCAGACTATATTCGAATTGACTCAGTGCAAACGTTTAAAGGGATTCTCATGTATACGTACATATATACATACTTTATTGGCTCGTCCCCACGGGGCTTTTCAGAGTCAATTTTATGTCAGTTTCATGCTAACTAACGCTTTCCTATTAACATTGATGTAGATTGGCTTTCAAAAACTTCAAAATTGCTGGTAAGCTAAAGCGTTGATGAAAAAAATTGCTTTGCTTTCAGACTAACGCAGATGTAGAATGGAAGTACTCCCACGCAGTGATAGCAGATGAATACAGAAGATATCATCCCATTGTTGTTCCGTTCAATATCGTTTCCGTACCAATTTCCCGACTTTACATCAAGATTTATGGAGATAAGCGACATGAGGTTTGTCCAAAATGACACTGAAATCTGATACTCACCCTCGTCGTTTTCCTTTCTTTTCTTTTTGTTTGCCGAGATACTGAGAAGACAGGCAAATCAGAAGCTCTGTCAGTAAGCATGCATTTTCTATGAGGCATACGCTTGTCTTTCAATGACCTCCTCGCGAAAGAGATGCCTTGACTGACCATCATGAGTAACTCAATTTGTCCAGTTCCTAATACTTTCTTTGGCACAAGGTCTTTGAGTTGTAGCAAGTGTTAATGTGAGACAGACGATTTTATATTCTTGATCACGACTTTTGCTGGCGTCGGTGCTGATTTCCCTTTCGGAAACGGTCGATGCCATAATTAGTAACCAAACATTTCGGAATGAACGATGCCACACCTGCTCTATTTGGGCCTGGAGTAAGCCAAAACTGGTTAAAAAATGGTGATAGACTAATAAATACGCACTCGCAATATGCTTAGTTGTTCACTTTCACACTGGCTTGCTTGCAGTTAGCTTTTATTTGTTGGTTACGGCAATACTGTAAGTAAAATAAACTAAGAAAGTCGCCTTTTACAACCAAATTAATTACCCGAATCAACCTAGTGGTGTAATGGTATATATGACAGGGATTGTACCATGCGAGAGGTTCTGGGTTCGATACTGGCTGGGCACTTACAGCTTTTGTTTTTCTTTAATTTAGTAGGAAAAATTCATTGTTTACGAAAGGGAAAAGTGCAGCGTCAGTTCTATACAGTTCAACTCCACATATGAACGGTCTCTGTGATGTGAATTTGTTTCAGATTCTAGAAATCTAAAGTTTCACTCCTTGGAAATTCTGGTTTCTATTTGTGCTTCTATTTATGAGACGGGAGGTCGGAGAGGATGCGAGAGAGCACGATCTGTTACGCGAGGACCGGATGACGGATAGCAAGTGGCGGATGGTGGATGGAAAAATAGATGACAAAACGCGGATGGAAAAACGCGTATGGAAAATTGGGAATGACAATATGCTAATGAAAAAATGCTGATTAGGGGAAATTAACTTTCTGTGATGTTGTCTCAGTCCTAGTTACAAATAAACCAGGCCATCTTATAGAATTTAGGCCGGGAGAAGTCCAGTATTTTTATTCAATTACAAAACAGATCAAAACATTTTTACGCCTGATTCAGAAAAAAAAAACGGAAAAGACTTGCTCGACTAATGAAAGATTAGACTTTCCTTTTATCATCAGACTCTGCTCTTCTTTTACGACATTCAAGGATTTTCGCTGTTTACTCTTAAGAAAATGTCCGCTGGAAAACTCGACTGCTGCCAAGAGACATCGTAGTTAATTTTAGCGCATCAGGATTTTATCATCCGCGCATTGTCATTCGCATTTTGCCATCCGCATTCTGTCATCCTCATTTTTTTTCTATCCGCCATCCGCCATCCGCCATCCGCCATCCGCCATCCGCCATCCGCCATCCGCCATCCGCCATTCAAAATTATCCAGTTTAATCTGGAATAATTTAATTAGACCCTTGACTTAATATTGCAATTTATCCTATTTAACTAGATAGTTATCTGTGAAACCTTTAGCTCCAGTGTAACGAAATAATAATTGTTATTATACATTGAACTCACTATCTCTTTTCTGATTGGCGGAAAGCGTACAGTGAATTTTCGAAATCAGCGCCTGTGTCGTCATCTAGCTGCAGATTACACAATAATCATGTCACGGACACTCAAGGTCTCGGCCGCGGTGCATGATTTCTAAGGGGTAATCATGTCAAGTTCGAGCGCTTTGTGTTTCAATGAGGAAGCAAAAACTTTTTTTTTCGGTAAGGGTTATTCTGGATGTCACAAAAACCTCATCCACTATAATTGTTTATAATTTTGGCTTTGTCCTTAGAAAGCTCAAATCCGGCGGAATATGTATGAGAAGTTTTACAAGGAAGAGCTCTTTCCTAAAATCACGAAACGCTACCTGGATAAACACGGTGATTCGTTTCCAATGTCAAGTAAGTGAGTAGTTGAATATTTTCCTTGTCTAATACTGAATTAAAAATTCTTTACCGGTAGACTGCCCGGGTGGATCCATATGAAAAGGTCGACAATGCTCGTCGTCTCGCATAAGGGTATAAATTTATGTACTACTATCATAACAACCTGTTGCCTCCATTGTTTTTCAACTTGTTTTTTACTATCATAACAACCTGTTGCCTCCACAAACAGTCAAATTCATGGCTATAGCACCAGAACAGCCAATAGTTATCGCGTGCATCAATGCCGGACTAATCTAAAAAAAATTCACAATTCTTTACCAAGGTCCAAAGATCTGGAATTCCCT